TCGCATGTATGTATATAATAATATAAAATAGGCGGTGGCGGCCTGTGTGTGGCGAGAAAGTGACTCGTTGCAATATTATTATATTAATCCAGCGCTCCGATCGGCAAACTCTTCTTTGTTTCATATTTTCCATCGCGCATTATGCATCTAAGTGCTTTCCTATATTGTATATATGTGGCTTCGAGACCTGATACTATATCGTGAGATGTTATATCCAATGGTCTACTTGCCGCGTGTGAAATTTTCATTGGCGTTGCTTTATAGATCGGGACGTTTCAATTAACATCATCGTGCAAACAATTCGTTTGTATACTTTATACGGCGTGCTGTGCGCGGGTGAACTAATTTTCAACCTATAAAAGAGCGAATCATTTTCATCTTTATCGAATTTATTTCGCGCTATCCTCGAACACATTTTCCTCCGTAGATCAAGTGTGGGACGGTACTCGACTACATTATGATTAAAGCATTTTAATTCTCACATATTTCTGTCATCGAACAATGGCGTACATCACACATCCTAACAAGTACAAATAACCGGCTAATAGTCGAGATATCGCGCATTCGGTATCTACAACGAAAAACTGGAAAAAGGCTTTACCCGAATGAAAATATATCACGGGATGAGATACGTACGTATAACGTGTACTTCGCAAGTGGGGCGCGAGATAAGGAGCTAAAAATTTCTCGGCTTGCGCGCGCGGTCTAGTCGAGGTCGTAAATCAATAGAGACGAAAATTTTCGCATTCTCTTATTGCGGCTACTGCACCAGCTGCACCTGTATACCTGCGGCAGCGACAACCTCTGAGACACGCGCTAATGTATAATCATATCTTTACGTACTACTACTCGGCGTGGCGCTCGAACACGACGACGCTGCCGCGCGTACCTATATGTATATGATGAAGAAGAAGAAGTAGAAGAAGTAAGAGAACGGGTTATATTCATATACTCGGCGCTGTACGTGTAATACTCGCTCGAGCTAATCGCGATAAAAGTATCGTGCATAAAGAGCCATTTAAAACGTCGAAAAAATGTCGAGTCACTGTGTGCTGCTGCTGCCGCTGGAGTGTTCGGTGTGCAGTGCACGGGCCGGTAGCAGCATTATACGAGTGCCGTGTTTCCTCCTTATATTCTCGCATCTCGCTCGCGAGCCCTTTCATATATATATAGCGTATATACAAGAGGTATAAGGTTCATACCTGCGCACTACTACGACTCGGCCGAGTATAGTAGTGGCGCTCCGTTTGGTCGTGTGCATATTATATATGTATATGTAGAGGTGCGTCTCGTATATATACGCATGTTTATAACAACGCCCAGGAAGTCGTAATGACCCGTCGTGGGAAAGAGTCGCAAGAAGTGAGAGCGAGACAAAGGGTATACACACATGCGCGTACTGCAGTGGGTGCATCGCGTATACATTATATATACGGAAAAGTGTATATATAACAAAAGGCATCGCTATTTGCTCTCGTACGGGCCCGCGCGCGCGCATCGCTAAATCCTTTTTCGACTGCGTACTCGTATAGAGGTATAGGTACGAAGATTCGAGATCGAATCTTTATCGCGGGCGCGCGCGGGAGCTTCTCCGAATGTATGTCAGAGCTTGTGCATTGTAGCTACTATACGTAGCCCATATATCGCGGTGTTTACCTGCGTGAGCGAGGAGGGAAGGAGGACCTCTGCGTATACGGGAGGATAATAACCGTCGTTGACTTGCAAATGTCAACTCTGCCGAGTAAGCGTTGCGGGTGTCTTTGTGTGTCTCTCTCTCTCTCTCTCTCTCTGCATTCCCTACTAACACTAGATGCTATAGCCAGGATTCAGCATCTGCATATACAGGTAGAAATGCAACGCGCCACATACTACAATGTCAAGAATCTCTTGGAGCTCGTCGCGTCTCGGCCTCCATCCTCGTATCTATGTGTTATATTATGCACAGGAATATCAAGTGCGACACTCGGACACAAGTGCGTCGTGTACAACTCACGCTTATAATCTATTCGCACCGCATCGCGCACTCTATGTTATGCTCTGAATTAAGCGCGATTCTTGACGAGCTCTCACGCACGGATAGAACGGAGAAGTCAAACGTATAAGTGCAGCAGCAGCAGTGGCTAGAGTGATTAAACTCGATCGTAATACGGAACTTTCCTATCCTATCCCTGCGTATAATAGGATGGCAGGCTCGAGTGTACATAATACATACCTTAGGTGAGGCAGTTACGAGATTTTCGGAAGCCATCGTCGTGTGGAATTATATGTAGGATATTATACGCGACGTTGATGCTGCCGCGCGGCGCGCGAGGAACGGTTTTTCCGTCTTGGAACGTTAATGACGTCCGAGCGGCAACTTTATAAGCGGCAGTTTCCCTACCTCGCGCGCGCGCGCGTATGCATGTGTTATGTACATGCGCACACGTATACGTACTCGAGTCAGCTAAGCGCGCATATATAGAAGAAGGAAGAAAAAAAAATGAGGCCGGCCGTCGTAAAAGTGGCAAAAGTACAGGCTACTTCGCTGTTGCTGCCGCTGTTTTTATTTTTTTTTTTTTTTGTCATATTCGCATAGAACGCGAGTGTGTAGACGTATTACCTACCCCCTTGCAAGTTTTTCAACGTTTTGCAAAACACAATGGGCGGCAGCAGCAGCAGCAGCAGCAGCAGCATACTTACCACCACTCGCGTTGCAGTAGTACAACACTATGGGCCTAATTTGTGCCTGAAATGAGGCATGAAACATACCGTCACATTAGAAAAATAGAGAGCGGCGGCAGCAGCTCAACGACAGGTTTGTCGCATTGCGCTTCGTCTTTGTCGGCTCTAATCTCTATGTATGTGCGCATGTGTGTTTGTGTGAGTTTGCTAGAAAGCAGAGCGCATATCAGGCTTTTCGCAATGCACTATACGAACGTGTCTCTTTGCTCTGTACGTCTCTGTCTCTCTCTCTCTCTCTCTCTCTCTCTCTCTCTCTCTCTCTCTCTCTCTCTCTCTAAAAGCGACGCTGTGCAGGCTCGCCAGCAGCTTCTCTTTGTGTTAAGCTGCGGCCGTACGATACTGTTGATGCTTCTGGCTGCTGCTGCTTTTTTTCATGTTTCTCTCTCCCTCGTTGTTCTTTGCGCGTGCATCGAAGCCCCCCCACCGCGTCGCGCTACGTCGTCGTCTTCTTCTTTCGCTTCCAGCTTTATACGGAAAAACCAGAGTCTTTCTCGGAAAAACTATGGCAATTTTCGCTCTCTCTCATGCCGTGGCCGCGGGAGAGCACGAGAGAAATTACATCTGGTGCAGTGGCAGCAGCAGCCCAGTGGAGAGTACTACTGTATAGCGAGCAGAGCAGGCCTCTCATTAGCCGCTTAACACGTTGTTGTACACCTAGTTTACCGATCGACATTCTTTTTCTCGCGCGCCAATACACGTGTTGTCTGTGTGTATGCGACTATGGTATTTATGACACACGAGAAAAAGATGATGTGCTGCTAGCAGTACTGTATGGTTAATTTCCGTAACGATCCCTTGGTTTTTTTTTAGGGAGAATACATTCTTGGACTTTGAGTGTGATTTGCTTCACACAAACTCGAAGTAAAAGTTCAAGTTACAAATGTATTTTAAATAAAATAAACTCAAGGAAAATCAAGTGCAGAAGCGTCAATCCCTCCGCGTTGGCTAAATTTGGATCGATGCCGAGTCTCCAAAGAAATTCGACCATGGACTTCGATCCCCTTTCCACAGACACGTGTAGCAGCGAATCACCCGATATCGGTGCGAGGCAGTTGAGATCGTGGCCGTGCTCGAGGAATTTTTCGATGATTTCGAAGCAGCCAGACGCGACGGCAGCGTGCATGTGTGAGAATCCAGATTCGTCGGTGTAATTCACGTCATAATTGTCGTAAATTTAAAAAAGCTCGTGGACGATGTCAGTTTTGTCCCAATACCTATTTTCACTCGCATGATGTATCGGTGTGGTGCGACGCACAAGTGGCTTGCCGTCTTCATCGAGCTCAGGCTCGTCCCTGTAGCCGGTCTTAACCACGAACTTGATGAATGAAATTGTATCAAAAGAAGATACTGGGCTATCCCAGGCACTTATGGAATCCAAGAGAACAAGCTCGATTTGTTCGGGCCGAAAAAGTTTCCAGAGAGGAAAGTCGAAGACCCCCCTTACAGACGTTACAGTTAAATGATAAAATTTACGGAGAAATATAGATCGATCTTTTGCATTATCCCAATCTAGTTGGGATATCGGCATGAAACATTTAAAGTAATTTTCCCACTCAATCATAATGCACAGTCTGTTGAAATATACAATATTTACGGCGCCACGACAATCACTCGCCACAGTCGATGAAAGATTTTCCACTATTTACCGTAACGTGAATTGACTGTTGGAAAACAGTATCAATTGTAACTTTGCTGAATTAATATAAAAACAGATAATAAAAACAGATTTTAAATTGTTGACTTATACAATTGTTTTCACTTCGCTACTTGCAGATATATAAATAAATGTAATCGCCATCTAGTGGTGGACAAGCTTGCATTAATTTCGATTGAATTCCCATACATTTTTTTAGCAAAAAATAAATCAGTATTAAAACGTTAATTTTTAATCAAAAAGTAAAAATGTTAGTCCTTTCGGTTTTAATTTTGCATTATAGATAATTTATGTGACTACGTTGATAAATTAATTGTCAACGGAGTTTATGAAAAATAGTATATTTAGCAATTTTTTGTGAATCCCCCAGCCTCATTTTGGTTTTGCTCAGCGGGAGTAAAATGTTACTTTTTTGAAAGAGTCGTTTAATCGACATTTTCAAAGCTCGAGTTGTTTGCGTGAAGCTCGTGTGACTTGCGGTATGCCATCATCGCGTGTATTTTTATAAGTAGGAAAACAACCAAATGAAAATGAAGATAAGTAAAATGATAATTAACTCGTCGCGTTTGCTCGTATATAAAAGAAGGAAGGCGCGGGTTTTCCTCAAAAACATTAGTCACGCATTTTCATCGCTCGCGTTTACAAACTCGGTATTTTCACAGCATCGCAGCGAATCGCAGCGATCAGTACGGAATCATGAAGCTCAACGTATCTTTCGCGCTGCTCGCGTTACTGTTCTTGACCATCGCGACGACCATGAGGGAGGTTGCGTCGCAGCAGCAAAACGGGTGCGCCAACGTGTGCTGTCGGGATAATTACGAGTGCTACGAGGGCAAGTGCTACCGACGACCCACGGGTATAAGCTGCGCCAACATAAGATGCAGAGGCGAGTGCCGAGATTATCCGCCGCCGTCTAGGTGCGTGTAGCGCGCGCGACAGGTCGAGCATCGAATTATCAGCGATTCGAAGCGAGCCGGTTGGGACGTTGTCGGCCGTTTATTATTATAAAAAAACTTATGAAGGGAACGTTAATTTTATTGTTTTTGAAAACCACATCGTTGAGCAAAGATTGTAATCACCTTTACGTCGGTGGCTGACGTATCATAAATAAAAAGTTTCTTAAATAAACTTGTTATCTCTGAGTGTCAAAATTACATAAGAGTTTCCTCAATTTGAAATCGATCCACAGAACTCGAAAAACAAATTTTCTACAGAACTACATGTTTTATATCTTACAAAAATTATTTTATCACTTGTGATTTGACTCTGGTCCATCTGTCGATTAAATCATAAAGCTCATAATCAAATTATTATTAATTTTTTTGTAATTCGTGTACGTTCGAAAATTTAGTTCACATTGCAAAGTCACAAAGTCGAGATCGCTTCTATATCGTAAAATCTCTTGCATAAATTTTCAAGTATTTACGGTATTATTTAAATAAAATATACATTATTGTTACAAAATATCAAGTGTCGTATCATGTCTTCTTTCTATATTCCACAAAATCCCTTGAACAATCATCGACCGAGCGACCAGCATGACACGCGTAATAGCACGAGAGTGGCTGCAGCACAAGAGAGACAGAGTTTTAATACACGACTCTACATATACCCAGTCAAAGCTGAAGCGTATAGCAGTAGTCCCGTGTATGAGACTTACCGCACTACGCATGCTTGAATTATGTTTGAATTAATTTAAGAGGCCGAATTTGCATTCGGCCAAATCAAAAATTGGTCATAAGACCTATGAAATGTTCCCCTCCACGGAAATCTTTAGTAAAAGGCGAAAGATTTATTCGTTTACTGAAGGGAAACTAGGTTGACTGTAGCAGCGATCGTGTCCGTACTTAAGCAAAAATTTTGCTCAACCTCTTGTGGGATCCACGATTCTCGAATCATGCGCCGCGTAGCGTCGATTCGAGGTACTTAATCTTGACAATCCCAATCATACACCGTACGCATGGTAGTATGTAACGAGGCGCGGACGCGACCTCACCCGGTTTACATTTCGGCGCAGGTCTCTTTATCAAACAGCGAAGTTCTAATAAATACAGTGCTGCTCGCACGCATATAACATGTGCATAACATATAAACACACACGTACGCGGCTCGTCTGTTCCGTTTATGATGCAATAATGCAAGTTTGCAAATACAACACTGGTCTGACTGCCGGCTGGCAAATACTCGCGCGCACGAGCTCGAGGTTATACGCTTGTTTGTAAATGTCTGCTCGTGTATGTTGCACTGCGCGCGTATGCACGTCGGGATGAATCTCTCAAAAGTTTGCGCGCGAGCTCGCATCGTCGTACGGGATTTGTGTATATGCGGAGGTATTATACACAAAGATACACACACACACACACAAGCGACGACACGACCGCACGAAGCTCGTGTATATTAACACATATATGTACACACGTTGAGTCTCGAGTTGAGGCTTCAATTACAAGATTATCAAGTGTCTATCGAGAGATAGAGCCGCCGCCAGCAAAGAGAGATAGAGATTATACATACATAGGTGGATGAGAGAGAGCCAGAGAAGTTCTCTCGAGTCCGTGCGTGTGTATGTGTGTATTCTGGGCAAACAAGCGGGGAAAGCTAAATACACATTTGTTGTGTTTGCCCAGAGATGGGATTGCGGCTAGCGCAAAATTTTACTCGACTTTATATGTGTTTGATATATATAAGATTTGCGCGAAGCTCTCTCGTATATGTGTACTCGCGGTAGTATAACGACGCTGCTGCTCGCGTTACCTCCGCCCCCGTATATATACGTATGCGTATGTACGTTGCAGCCGCAAAACTTGCAACTTAAACCTAGTCGTCGTCGTGGATTCGTGTCAATAATATAAGCTCGCGCTTGGCGCTGCACTACGTGGGTACGTTTATGCAAGTACATATATACGGTATAAATGTGTCTTGCAGGTATATAGGTACGTACTTGTGCGGGTGTATATGTATGTACTTGGGTAATAGTCAAAGTTGGAAAGTTTCCTCGCGACGAGCTCGGTGCGTTCGTTAGGAAAATAGGAGCTTCTGCTGAATCTGCACTGTGCAGCCGCCGTCGACTGCAGCAGTAGTCTAGTCTAGTCTAGTGGTAGTAGGAGTAGTAGTAGTAGTCGTCGTCGATGGCGTTTTAACAATTTGATCCTGACTGGAGTTAAGGACCACAACGACGTTGCTGCAGCGGTAGCGGGTAGCTCCCAGAGAGCAGCAGTACACGCTATATGGCGCAATATAGGAGTGTATTGTACTGCCACCGCATACCACCTGTTCTCGGCTTGCATCCGACGAGAAAACGGAGAGAAAGAGAAAGAGAGAGAGAGAGAAACGAGGAGATGAGAGCACTGCGCTTCTGCTGCCGCTGCTGCTTTGCCTTTTGTATCGCAACGGCAACGGGGGACTTCGTATATATGTGTATATACCTATATATAATACGTGTTTCCGAGACCGCCACCGCTGCACCGGGACGCAAAAAGACAAGGAAAAGTCATCTCTGTCTCTTCTTACTCGGGGCGCAAGACAGAGGCCTGCCTGACTGCGACTGAGCTGCCTATATGTGCACGCGCGCGGACGCAGTACCTCAAATTACAGAGAAAAAACCACTTCTATATCTCTCTCTCTCCACTTTCGTCGTTCGTTTTTCGTCCTCCGATTCGCAAACGACCATTAGTGCTCTGTTGCTGCTACTGCACAGCAGCTCGACGACCACGACGACGAGTCCTCTATCTCTCTCTCTTTTCTGTATTATATCGTGCTGCTACTGCGCCTGCGGATCCGAAGAAAACGATTTTATATCGTTGATGCGCCGCTTAATAGACCGACTGCGCGCGCATGTGTGTGTGTGTGTGTGTGTACATGTGCGCTATTATAAAGCAACTATTACTCGCAATTTCAATTCGAACGACGGCTCTGCGCGCGAGGACTGATGAATTTTCCATCCGGACGATTATGACGAGTCAATACATCAAACGAGTTATACTTTTGCGCCTCTCCTCTTCCTTTTTTTTCGACGATTCTATGAAAAATCTTCTTTTCATTGAATTTTTTTGCACTTTTTAGGATTCTATTTCAGTGAAACAAAAAAAAAATAATATACACGTTGCGCGATATTTTTCCTACGAGTAAATATTTAAGCATAGCTGAGTAATAATAAAGTTCCCATGTTGAATGCTCCTTTTTCCACGAATAAAGTGAGTTAAAACCTTTGCGATATAATCATTCCTGAATTTTAAAATATTTAACTATTCCTAGAGGGGTAAGCCATTTTTTTTATATTCAGGAAAAGTTCGTAATTAATCAAGTTGTACGCGTATAGAGCTTTAATACTTTGCGACTCAGACATGCACAGCCGTGAAGCGAGTTAAAATTTTAACGTTATTCAACCGAGCGATGTTGAATATTTACACCCTTTTTTTTCTAAAAAAAAAAAGGGATCATAAATGTATCTAAACGAAGGATATAGAGAGATCCCTTTCTAAATAATTCAATCGTTGCCGCTGAAATCCCTCTAAAAAAAACTAAATAAAAAGTATTACTTCAATATTGACTTGATCCAGGGTTCGTAACGCGATCCGTTATAAATAGTTTTATATATAACGCGAAAAAGAAAAATTCAAGAACTTAATTTCGTCTCCCCCATACATAATTGCATTTTTGCTTCGCCGATATATAACTTCTGCTATAAGCGCGAAAGTATCCGCGCGTAGTTTTTCCCAAGTTCGCTGCGATCGAAAATTTCTTCATCGTTTCACGCACGCGAGAACGTCTTCCGAGATTTTTTTTCTCTCTCTACTGGCAAGGCAAACTTCTTTTGCGCGTCTTTTTCCTTTTTTTTCTGCCGAACTCTGCTGCTGCTGCTGCTGCTGCCGTCGCTGCCAATATTGACTTTTCCTCTACGATGAACAGAGCAGCAGCACACGCAGATTTTTCAGAATTCGCAGCAGCAGCCGCCGCGCGCCTACATCGAATTTTCCGCAATATACGACGCGCGTGCTCGCATTTTGCGCTACTCTCGTCACTGCCGCGATGACTTTGCAATTTCACGCATACATTGTCCCTCTCTCGCGCCAGGCGTACTCATCATACTCGCAATATTAATTGCTTACATATTATAGGGCATGAAAATTCATCGCAATTTTCCCCGAGGTTTAAGAGTCAACTCGATGTTCGCATGGCGAGCGAGTGATACGAGGGCCGATATATGCGCGTGTATACGCGCGCGCACATAGCGTATAAATAGACGCGTAATATATACACCTCGAAGAGAGAGAGAAGCGCGAGATGCACACAAAACTGCAATATAATAGCACGTGGGAATATTTTTTCATCTAGCGAGCTTCTCTCTATGTGTGTATATACTACACGGGCGAGTGGCTGGCGCGTGCACTTATTAAGCAGCGCCGTGATTATGATATACTGCCTGTGTATAGCTCGGCTATATAGCCCATATACATAGCTGGAGGAGGAGGAGGCGCAAGCCAGTAAAAATTAGCTTATACGGTCGACCGAGAAAAATGGTAGTTGCAGCGTGTATTAGCTCGCGTGTATATGTGTATACGCGTATGTGTACACACATACACACCGCAGGCCACTTTTCGCGCCGGAAATTGAATCGCGGAAAGCGGCAGCTCTGATATTAATATCCGAGGCGAATCTCTCTCTCTCTCTGCGGCGTATTTGCGAGTTTCTTCGTTTCTCCGCTGTACTGCTGCTGCTGCTGTGTACGGTGATTTAAATGCGCTTAGATTTACTCTCTGTGTTGTGTATGCATGTATGTGTGTGTCCAAAGTCGGACTCCACTATCTCTCGAGGCAAGATTTAATTTCGTATCAGAAATTGAATTTTCCGCGGCGCACCGCGTAGTCGTACACGCTTATATACGTATGTATGGTGCATCGTTTAAGCTCGACTGCTCACAGCAGCAGCAGCATCGTATCCATCCGGATACACACGTGCCACGTACGTATATGTATGTATTCTGCACACAGCGCATACGGGGATTGCTTATTCGAAAGACGAGCTAATTTCGACGAGCTTCGAAACGACGTGTTGTCGCGTGCGCACGCGGTATGTAGTACGCTGCATACAGAGATGTACATACATACATGCATACATACATACATACATACATGTTCGCGAACATACGATG